GACGACAGGGAGTTTCGGCGAGTGTCGTCCGGTTCGGGGTTGTAGTCGTTGGACGTGAATCGAACTTGGGTCCTGCTGTCATGGCGTCGGCAGCTGCCGTTGTCTCTGTTTTGTTGTTGTCGTCCTTATCGTCTTTGCCATCTTTGGGTTGTTCGTCGGCAGTATCGTCTTCCTCTTTTTCGTCAGCCGGCACCAACACTCGAATGAGACCCTCCATAGTATTACTATGTACTATTGTTGTTGTTGTTGTCGTGTTGTTGTCTTCCATTGCTGCCGCTTCCACTTCTCATCAATGGACGATCAATGATTCCCTGAAAGCGTTTTCCAGGAGTCTCTTCGTACTCCCATTCAATGGAGCCAGTGGGCAACTGAACGACTTCCAAGGCGGCCAATTTGTCGGGATTGTCTCTCGATTTGCCCACGCGGAATTCCACTTCGTCATCGATTTGCAAATGATCCGGATGAGGACTGGTGACTTCACTGTAATGGAAAAAGATTTCATTGGGACGATCGGCACAGTGAATGAATCCAAATTTTTCCTTGAGACTGCAGATACAGCCACGTTCCAACGGAAGACTCGATCGATCCGAGCCACGGCGACTTCCACGGCGTCCTCCACCTCCACTGCTGCTGCGATGATAGTTGTTGCTGTTGTTGTTGTTGTTGCCACTGTTGTTGTTGTTATTGTTACTATTATAAGACGAGCGACTGCCACGGCGATTGTTGTTGCCATACGAGCGCTCGCGTTCTTGTTCGGCTTGAATGTCCATCAATGACATTTTGCCACCAGAGTTGCGGGGACCGTTGTCCATTGTCTTGCTACTTTTTACTAAACTGTAATGTAATGTGTGTGTAGAGAGAGAGAGATAGCCTCACTCTGTAGGGAGATTGTTGATTTGCTGTTGCTCACTGGAACGCAAGCGACAACAAGATCTGGTTTTTTCGTCGACAACAGGACACTCAAGATCCTGCTTTCTGTTATTTGCTAGCTAGCTAAAGCCAGTGCTGTTGCTATACTGTTCTTGTTGACTGTATAGCTGTGGATTGCTGTTGGGTAATGTAATGATGTGTAAGATGAGAGCGTAAAGGTCTTTTTCACAGTGACTGGAAATGCCACTCCGACAAAGATTCGTTTGGAAGATTGATGGATTGTTTTTGGGTCGAAGGCTGTGCTAATAATCAAAGCCTTCGAGGCACAGCAATTACAGCTAGTATGGGGTGGATGAAGGGATAGCTTTGTAGTCAAATAGACAGCAGCCGGAAGAAAGGAACAAAAGAACCACAAGAACCACAAGGGTTGCTGAACGAGACACAACAAAACCACTTGTGAGCAGCTAAAAGAGATCGAAAGAGACGACCGGCAATCACCACGAAGGGCGGCGGCAGATGGCCTTTGGCACGCTGATCGCGCGGCCTCGAAAGCGGATAAATGACACGGTATAAGGCTCAGGGTATAAAAGATTCATATGCCTCCTGGCTCGTCTCCGTTTCCATAAATCTTTTATTACCAACACCTAACTCGCTTAATTGAAACAGTATTCGCGCGCTCCGCGCGCTCATCCCTTTCTCTGCTTCGCCCCGATCCCTCATTCATGCGAAAAATGTGAAGAACGCAAGGCGACTTTCATGTGCATGTACATGCGTTGACTGTATCCCGTCAATACAATACTAGTCGAATACGTAGACTTCTACAGAGGCCTCTAAGTAATGCACGCGGGGTATAATTCAAACCTCCACTCCCCATCGGTACCCTTACCCCTAAAAGCAAATCGTCTCCGGGAGACGAAATACTTAGAGTAAGGGTCAAATATTCGGGATCATTAGAATTCCGTCTCCTGAGACGGTGCTCCTTTTGGTTACCCCCTCAGTTGCACTCTGAAATCGATTGGCTCGCGTTTACTGTGTAAATTAGTGTACCCGCACTTCAGTTGCAGAATCAACGGTCATGTGTATCGTTAAATAACAGGTTCTCTTTCGAAAGATTTAGATCGATTCGTGGATAAAAGAACCGTTGAAGTTACTATGGTTAAGGTCCATCGATTCGAAGTACGCTGTATCTATTCAAGCCCGTTATTGAAGGTACAGCGCTGACTTCTCTCCCTCATTCAATTCCTATGGTAAACAGGAGAGAAATCCAAGCTTTGCCGACAACAGGTGAGCCGACAACAGGTGAGTTGTTTCAATTACGATCGCTCGCACCTCTATTATCTCTACCGGTAGTATCAAGCCTCACTCAAGCCGGCTGTCTCTGGTGCAGAAGCGAAAGCCATCCCTCATTGAATCCTATGGACCATGGGATGGCACTCAATTCTCGGCCCATGACGGCCAAGTTGGTGCAATTTGAAAAACAAGGGTAAGTCGCCGGTTTTCTTCAGTTGAGCACAGAAAACAAAATTCATATCTATTCGTTGTTTTCTCTGCTGCACTGCTGACGGCCGAGGAAATCCCATTGTCGAACGAACGATCGGTCGCTCCGGAGAACAAGAAGAGGAGAGGCTACCGCTACGGAGGAGACTGTTAACTCCAGCCCTACCAACAGTCTGAACGGATCGTCGTCGAGTCATTGAATGGCAACAAGAGGAGGCAGGCTGCACGACAACACACAAGAGAGTGGATACTCCTACTGGATTCACCCTTCAGTGATATTTCCTAGTGTTTGGTTGGTGATTCATGTGTCGGTACCCACTTTCCTGTATGCACAAGTCCTCGGGCGAACCACTTGAATCTTTTGTACGATAAAGATAGATAGATAACTCGTTTGATAATAGATCATCGATTACCGACCAATAGACCACTCCTTTCATTAGATAGACACCTTATAGATCAATAGGTGAGTGTGTTCGGTACTGTTGCCACTGTCACCGATGTAACTATACGGCAGCCAGCTACAATGGCTGGATTGACAATCTTGCGTGTATTCGTCATAAGGATCCAAACTTGTACCGGAGTGTAGCGAGCAAAGCCGAACCTGAGTGTGTTCTGTACTGTTGCCACTGTCGCCGATGTAACTATACGGCAGCCGGCTACAATGGCTGGATTGACAATATTCGGTTGTGCATGTATTCGTCATAAGGATCCAAACTTGTACTGGAGTGTAGCAAGCAAAGCCGAAGCTGAGTGTGTTCGGTACTGTTGCCACTGTCGCCGATGTAACTATATGGCAGCCGGCTACAATGGCTGGATTGACAATCTTTGGTTGTGCATGTATTCGTTATAACGAGCGCAGACAAGCTGCGCTCGCCCAGAGCAGCTAGGCACGACTAGTAGAGGATTAGGTGAGTGGAGAGACTCGGCCATTTACTGAGCCGACCGTCTCCAGTCCCCGGGGTACCATTCGGGACTGGGGAGTCCCGGATGGATCCCACACGGCAAAAGGGAGTCCCGGGAATGTGATGTTCCACGGGACAGCCTTGAGTCGTGCAACCAGGGAGGGAGAGGTGGGTTAATCTAATCTAGGTTCTTGCCTTCAGCGTCGGCTGAATGAAGAATTGTGAGCTGAGAGAGAGACAACCTTCTTGCGATCGGCAGTTCAATGGCTGATCTTGGCTAGGTCGCTGGCTTTAGTGATTCATGGTTGCCGCTGTCGATCTTGCTAAATGTGGTCTTGGACGGGCGTCGTTGCCTTAAGGGTAATCTTGTTCGAGAGGCATTGAGGAGCTGATGCGGTGCATCATCATGTGGGGTATCCATTTCCGGAACGCAGGTGATGACCTGCGAGATGTAGAGATGTACTTGAGTTGTAGGTGAGGAGCGTTGGAATTAATTTTGCAAATTGTGAGATGGTCCTCTCGGCAACCATGATTAGGGTCATAGTTGCGAGAACCCATCAGCCCATCAGGGTTCAAGTTTCCGCGCTGCGGGGCGTGGAAACTCGGACGGGGGTTCCCCAGGCGTGCTGCTGCTCAACACCGAGCGCAGACAAGCTGCGCTCGCCCAGAGCAGCTAGACACGACTAGTAGAGGATTAGGTGAGTGGAGAGACTCGGCCATTTACTGAGCCGACCGTCTCCAGTCCCTGGGGTACCATTCGGGACTGGGGAGTCCCAGATGGATCCCACACGGCAAAAGGGAGTCCCGGGAATGTGATGTTCCACGGGACAGCCTTGAGTCGTGCAACCCAAAAGCCAAAGGCAGAACAGGGAGGGAGCGTAGCGGGGTGGGAGAAGTTACCCCCTGTCCAGGTGTAGGCGAGGACAGGAGGCCGAGGACTGTCAATGGAGTGGAACAGCATATTTTTCCCTGTGAAAGATGGCGATACCGATAGAAAGGAGAATTTCTCCATTTCCGATTCTGTAGCTGTCAGCGACAGTGCTGATAGTCTCAAGAAGATTTTTGATGCGAAATACGAACAGACTGACTTTAGGCAGATGTGCCAGAGTAGAAAGAGAAAGAAATGCCTCATGCCTTCTCGAACAAGTGCTCTGACCCAGTCGATGCTACTTTGGGAGAGTTGCAAAAGGACGACTACGAAGTAGAAATCCTCCCTGACGCTAAACACTATCACACTAGGACTTAACCTACTCCACGTGTCCATAACAACAATCTTAAGAAGGAGTTTGAACGTCTCTGCAAGGCAGGAGTACTTAATAAGATAAACTGTTCCGAGTGAACGGATCATTCCAAGAAGGATGGATCCACACGGGTCATCTCCGACTTCCGGGAAATGAACAAAAGGATTAAGCTAAAACCGTGTCCGATCGCAAGGATGCGAGACAGGCTGCCGAATCAAGACGAATTCCAGCACGCTAATGCTCAATGGGCACTATGATAGCCCGACATCCTCCAAAGAGATGAAACACGATGCATGACTTAAAAAATGTCCGTGCATACGTGATGACAACTCATCCAACTGACGATAGAAATAGTTAGTTGAATTTTTCAAAGACTTCAAGAAGTCAGATTTAAAATCAACACTACCAAGGCCTTTCTCGAAAGGAAGAACTTGGGTATCTAGACCATTGGATTACTCGAGAAGGAATCAACCCATTAACTAAGAAAATAGATGCGATCCATAGATCGCTCCTCCTACAACAATAGAAGGAACTCGTAGATTAATTTGACATGAACTACAACGAGAATATGAACCAGAAGATCACATTACACTTCATTGCTGGAAAATGATTGATCCCGTAACCAATGGTTCGGGATTACCAGGGTCTGCTCCAAGACAGCAACGAAGTAACCATCGTTCTAGAACAGACGTGGGTTACCAGTATCCATGACGCTGGGTTAGACATGGACAAGGACGTGAGTTCCGCGCAGAGGTCGAAGACTCTCCGGGATGACATGGACTTCGTCGACAGTTCACGCGGTCAATCGTGACAAGATTCCCAACATCCTTTCGAAGCAAACTGAAAATACAACAAGGAACGTCGCCAACGACCTAACCAGAAAAAACGAAGGGGAACGACACGTGTCCCTCATACACACAAATGTCAACGATACTGTGATTATTCATCGTATCAGCACCGCAAGTACGGTCAGCCAAGTACAAAGGTCTTACACATAGCCCGATTCAATACAAATGCACTGTACGGCTCGACATGCTACGCCAATGCGGCACGTCTACCAACTTGGAAATAGGTATTGTACACCCATACAAGCTATATCCTTGTAGGTTGCCATCGTGCGACGCCATGTTACATCAATCTCCGGAGAGTGCCCCGCACTTTAAATTCATATGTTCTCTTTGTCCGACTGATGTCGTGCTTCTGTGACCCTTGTCAGGTGCGAATGCAATACAACGGCTCTTACTTATTCGCGACTCGATCTAAATAGGGTTGAGTTCAACTCATGTGAGTCTTTCGTGAATAGTCATTGAGAACGGTTCTCAATGACCGCTAGTCATACTAGGTCGATGGTGAAACATCGCGCTAGATATTTAGCTGGCGGGAGATTTCACGCTACTAGAAAAGCTAGACGAATTCTTCAACGCGTTCCTTTTGATTGTGGAGTAGTAGGATTGAACCCAACCTACTCTATCACACTTTACAGTCTCCCGCGGAGTTCAGATCTACGATCCTTTGATGTGATCTCTCCGTTGATAGTTTCATAGCTTTCTATCTCTTATATACTCATTCTTCAACTCAAACATCGAAAGACTTTTACACTAGCTTAGCATATGCACACGCAACTGTTTCTCGAAGTGGTGAACGCATGCTTTCCTTGAGCAATCTTCATGGTGAAGAATAGGTTGAGGGTAGCTGAAAGTATTGTTTGTTTAACAAAATCATACGCTAAAAGCTAGCTATGTAAAGATCTTTCGAGTGTTTTGTGATTTGAGAGAATGAAAGTTATGAGAGAGATTAGAAAGCTATGAAAACTAATCAACGAGAGAGATCACCACCAAAGGATCGTAGATCTGGTTCCCGTGGGAGACTAATAAGTGTGATAGAGTAGGTTGCGGTAAGTCCTACG